GGAAAGTTTTCGTTCCGGTTGAGCTGTAACGTGCGTTGAACACCGTTTGGTTTTTCGAACATATCAATGTTAGCTATAGCGCTGTCTTGAAATTCAAGGCAAGAGATGAAGTCATCAATAAGTGCAACTACAAAATTTTCGTTCCAATACGCGGTAGGTTGTAGTTTCCCCACCGGTTGGCGCAAAATATAATCAATCAAACCCATTTTGCTGCCGGAAAGGTGTTTTATATCAAAATCAAATGGGAGGAGACGGTCAATCCATCTAGTTAGACGACTTTGATATGTTTTTTTTTACTTTTATTGCTGTTTAGAGCACTAACCAAAGCTTGATGGTCAATAATTAATGTAAAGCGGCGGCCATACAGATAGTATTTAAAATGATCAATGGCCCATACCGCAGCTAGAAGTTCTAACTCGTTTACTGAATATTTATTTTCGCACGTATTCAAAAATCTGGAGGCATATGCAACCGTAGCCTATCCGTCTGGAGTTTCTTGTTCCAGCGCTGCTCCAATACCATCGCGGCTTGCGTCACACACTATTCTGGTCTCTCGATTACTTACAAAATGTCGGTTTTCTGTGATGTTTTGGACCGCTGTAAGGATGGTTTTAAATGCTTTATCATGTTTTTGTTCCCAAACGTAATAGAATTTTGAGGAAGATGATAAAAGTGGTCTCAACGGTGGGTATAAATTTATTTAAGTGATGAACTGATCCCATATTACTTTTTAATTGTTTGAACGTTGTGGGGTGGTGGAGTTTAGTGATTGCGTCAGTTTTCTTGTGCATCGGTATGGTTCCGTATTCATTTATGACAAAACCGAGCCATTCGACTTCTTTACAACCGAATTTACACTTATTAACCAAAATAGCCATATTTTCTTGATCTAACTTGTCTAAGACTTTTTTCAGTTTATCCATATGGTGTTCTTTTGTTATGTGGGATATAATCAAGATGTCGTCGAGAAAAGCGAAGGTATCTTTTTCGTTGTTTAAAGTTAGATCGATGGCTTTCTGGAATTCTGCGGCCATATCCGTGAGCCCGAAGAATCCAGTCTGAAATTGATAGGTGCCGGTTGCTTGTCCGCCAATTATACTAAAATTACACTGCGTTTTGGTTGTATCATCTAATTTTAGTTGACTGTAGGCGTATCGAAGGTCAATGGTGGAAAAATATGTTGTCCCTGGTTTTCCATTACCTTCTTGAGCTGATTGAGCTACGTTGTCCAAGAGTACATCGATATTTGGCATTTGATACTTGTTTTTATGTATCGCTTTGTTAATTTGTTTGGAGTCCATTGCCAGTTTTATTGTAAAATCTTTCTTTACAGTTATTACAATTGGACTAATGAACTGTTTGTCACTACAACTATCGAGTTTCACAATATGGCCTTGATCAGTTAGAGATTTGATTTCTTGTTCAATTTTTTCCTGAATATGTATCGGAATTCTGCGTCCCTTTTGTTGAAGTGCCTTGAAATCGTTTAGAAATTTTGTGTGAACCATATGGTTTTTTGAGCGTCCGATGCGCGTACACAACCCCGGATATGTTGTTTTTACCCAATTGGTTATGACTGGATCTGATTGGTCTGTGTCAGCAATACAATTGATTGACTTCCCATATTGGTTTTTTTTGATGATGTTCGCCTAGTTGCGGTAGGAGATTTCGTCCCAAGATGTTCGCCCGTTTATCGTCAACCACAATAAATGGGGCGGTGCTGATTGTCCAACCTCCTGACTCTATTGGTATAATCAGCCTTCCGAACGTAGGAATTTTGTAGCCATTATAACATACCATTCTATTTGCCTCGTCCTCTTGGTTCAACTGAATGCGTCTTGCCTTTTTCACTGTATTATGTAAGGTAGTGGCAGTTGTTGACAAATGACGTTGGAGATCCTGTATCCGCAATGAAGACAATGTAATTGTTTCCTATTTATACCTGAATTAGGTGTCCTTTCAAGTCCTCCGTCTTAAGTTTGTCTGCCGTTTCCTCTTGGAAACTCACTGCGTTTACGCTGTGGTCATTTGGATGGGCGAGATCCCATCCCGGAACCACATCCCCTGCCTGTAGATAATCGACGTACGCTGCTATATCTGTATCCTGCAAATTTATTTCGGGATCTTGCTCTTTGCTGATTGCATTGACGGTTGAAGAATTACAGAGTGTGGCGTAGTGTCCTCTTTTCGTGCCTTTATTGCAGATTTTATCTTTTGCCGGACATTGTTGAAGATGTCCGGGTCCGAACGGATTTCCGCACTTAAAACATGATTGCTTTCTATCGCTGCCTTGTCGTTGTGAAGTTCCCCGCTGTGGTTGTCCTCGACCTCTGTTCCCCTGTCTATTATTACGATATGAGTCCCCTCCTCGTTTTTGTATGAACCCAACTGGTTCGGATCTGATGCCTGTCTGCTGGGAAGAAAATGTTGCGGAACCTTGCTTGCGTATTTGGAGCTGGTTTTCCAAAGCTTTCTTTACGTATTGCATATTCGAATGCTTGTGTGGGGGTTTTCGTCTCGGCCAGTAGGTCTTTTTGTACCTCATCATTTGTCATATTCGCTGTGAATAGATCTCGAGTAATTTCGGTTTCCAAAGTGTTATCGTTGCAATTAGGACATTTGAAATTTCCTTTAATGACAAGTTCCGTGAGGCCACAGTGGAATTGCTCTAACGTTTCCGTCTTGTTCTGCTTTCTGATGAACGGTTCGTATCTATCGAACGTCACATTGCGGTCTTTGATGAAAAGATGCTCTAAGCTATTCCAAAATGCCCTCGTTGATGTTTCTTGTATATTTAAATCTGAGAAAAGTTGACTGAGACGTCTTTGTCCCTCGTTTCCGAGACTGAGGTAAATATAGCTTCGGACTTTTATGTCGGCTTCCTCCCATATGATTCCATCCACGGTGGGTCCCAAGTTATCCAATTGAGCACACTGGTTATCCCATTGGATCTTTTTCTCTTGATTGCGTATGTTCCGGTCCCTAGTTTGCGATTGCATTTCCCCCTCGATAGGGAGCTCATAACCAGGCTCTTGAGGTTTTCGTACTGTGGGTGGATCTTGTAAAAGTTTTTGCAGATTTATTCCGTCTTTTGCGACGATTCCTAAATTAAGCTGCTGGTTCCAATTTTCCCACTCGGTTGGAGGTTCCGCCGAGGCTTTCTGCCAGAATGGGGCGATACCCAGTGGGTTTTTTGTGAGTGCTGGCCGCGCCATGTTATACCCACGGATTCGGAGTATATATGTTAGATCTGATTTGAGACATAATGTGTGAAAGAAAAAGGAGTTAAGAAGAGTTTGTTATCAACTTAAATTCAATCGATAATGTTATGTCTGATTCGAATCTGACCTCGAAATCATGAGAGCGACAGAGACTCATAAATAACTATTGAATATGGTGTTAGGCTTAATAGGTACTTAATTTAGATCAGACATCTTTATGATTACGTTTACATAACATTAGAACTATAAACAATCTAAGTTATATCTGAGTTTCGTTATACTGAGTTCTAATGGATATCCAGTATAACCGTACGGATAACAGAAAAATTGCGGTAAATATCGTTTCCAAAAAACATGTATCTTGGGCTGCTACACACGTTTTCCAGATTTCAAGAATACTGATACGGCAATAAAGAACAATTTCAGTTTTGAGTTTTTTGGGACACCCTGTATACCAAAAACTACTGAGCTATAGAAAAAAAGTTTATCTTTTTGCTTTTGTTATATAAATTGCTCAATTTTCAGTCAAGTTCTGTCTATGAGCCTAGCAAAACATTTAGTTCTTTTTTATATGAAGGTAAACTATTACCAGAAGAAGATAATACCAGCTTATATTCATAGATTTCCATGACACTCTCTACAATCGCTACACTCCCTGACACTCGCTACACTCCCTGACACTCGCTACTTAAATGGCCAATTCATACCTTGACAACAATTTCTTACGATGTTTTATCCGGCCGTGTTCTAGAAGCTAGTGTAGTGTATCATATGCCAAAGTTTCAACCGTGAATCCCTGTAGTTGTAGAGAAAATGGCAAAAAGCTGGAGTTTTTTGTTCCTTGCTTCGCTTGAACAGTAAATGTTTCAAACTCTGTCTCGTGCCTGTATAACTGTAAATATGACTAGCAAGAACAGCTAAAAATCAAGTGAAACAAAGTTCACCTCAAATAACTTGGCTTTTCCAGTGATCAACACAGGAGTAGGAAGAAGATCAGTATTTGACTAATAATTGCAAAATTCTATCCGACCACAGCTAGGTAGCGTGACACACGGAGGGTGAATTCAAATTGGAATTGCTCTTTGAGTTAGAACCCCAGATAGATCATATCTGGAGCGATCAACGAGTCACAAAAAGACCTTAAACAACTAATTTACAGTTGCAACTTAGATCGATTAGGCTTAAAATTCTATGCCCCAATTAACCTGACAAAAAAAACCTAAAAAATCATTTAAAGAAGTTTGGGGCAAAATAGTATGACACAATTAATTTACTACAACTAACTTAACTTAACAAATTAGATCGATTAGACGTCAAATACTACGTCTCAATTAACCTGACCAAAAAACCAAAAAATTATTTAAGGAATTGTGTGCCGGAAAGTATTACGACATCAAGAAAAAATATTACAACACGAAACTAAACCGAATTTCTAAAACTCCAGTTCTACTGATTATTCCTGATTTGAAACTTGTCTAACACTAAATACAAAATCATTTGGAATTTTTAAACATTTTTGAGTAAGTTTAAGTAATTCTGTAAAACCGTGTCTACCAGAAAATTTGAAACAAAAGCAACATCAATTACAAGCTTTTTAGTTTTTCCTTTCTTCAGTTGGTTGACATAATTGTAAGCTTTAAAGTTTTAAACAGATTTTTGCAAGCAGATTTTTCATTTTTTTGTTGGGTCTACGAAGCTAGAAATTAAAATTTTTTTCTGCGCAGGTTATTCTGTATTCATGAAATCTTGCGTATAATATGATTAATTTTGAAAGTATACCTTCAGAACAAGTCTGCTTTGCGGTTCTCAAGTAACACGCCCAGGAGTCTTGGATTCCCAGGAACACTAGAAGGTATCTGATGAACTCCTGACAATTTTCGCTGATCAAGTGATACGATTTGCGAGCAATATTGATGTTTTCGATGAATGCATTCAACGCAGGGTTGCTGTAAGCCGGATAATTGTCACGTAGAATAACCTGAGTTTCTTTGAACCCAGGTGACTCGTTCCATGGCTCATCGTAGTCCGTCATTTCGCTGTGGAGGACACCTTGCTGATCATATGCTTCGAGAAGTTTTCGATACCTGAAGAAATTGTAACCAGTTCAAAACAAGTAATTATAAATCCAATTATATTCTCGATAACTATCACTGTAAAATATTTAGAAGTAACCAATCATGATCCATCACTAAAACTTACAATAAAGTGTAAGGCTGAAATTACAAATAGTTTCAACCCGAGAAGAATGAGTTTAACTTAGCAAACGGTTGCTCTTTCTTGATTCTAACCTTGCGACAAAACCAGTTTATACTACACTTTTTGAGACCAGGAAATATAGGATTGGTATAATATTAAGAAGTTGCACGAATCTATCCGGCCGAAAGTAAGATGACGAACAAACGGTGTACCTTATCCGAAATTACTCTTTGAGAAAGCCGCCCCGGACTCAAGTTTATCTGAAGCGACCAATCGAGTCTCGAATAGACTTTTTTAATTTAGGTCTTTCAAAAACAAAATAGAGTAGAAAAAACAGATCAAAAACGCTCAGCAAGATGGTTAACAAAAAAACTAATGATAAAAATAGCTTATTTCCACGTCTTAATAAGTCTAATCAATTCAAACTGATCATAAAGCTGAAACCGGGTCAAAACTAGGACGACAAACCGAGCTTCTACATCGTAAAACGAAAAAGCAGACTACAACAATTATTCCTCTACAAATCTATTTATGCAGTAAATTTTCACTTATTAATATGAAGGGCAAAAAAAGCAGTCAGATTATTTCAAAGTCGAATCTCTAACTATGATGAATAATTAAAAACTATGTCGTTATGAAACTTCTATCTACCTTTGAACTTCAAATCTGCAGTAATTTTGTCAAAACTTATAAAATTTTTTATACTTTTTGAATAAACAGAAAACGCAAAAAATTAGTTAGTAAATGCATTAATGATTAGTTTTATAAAAATAAAAGGTTCCTTGATTCTTGAGAACGTTTTCTGTTATTGTTCTGTTTCATCTAAACTGTAATTTTACATCAACTAAAGTTTTGATCATCAAGTTTTTCCTTGGATCAATTTCAAAAAATTCACCCCACCTCTTAAAAAACTAGTGTCTAACGAACTCAAAGGTCAATTCACTTTCCCACCATTATGTACGAGCCAGCTATAACTAAAGATTTTTCAAGAAACTAACCATTTCAATTAGGTTATACATTGAAGAACTTCGGTTACTCATCCTTCACTTGAACCCTACCTCCTAATTGACCTAGGCTTAAAACAAATCTTACAACCAGTAAGAACTAAAATATTATGCAACGATCTATTTGTGTTCCAACTATACCTGAACCTTGTGGGTTGAATTACTAATCTCTAACCCTCGTTCTCGAATCATACCCCAATTAACTAAGGTTAAATTTATTTTGATGAAAACCATATTACACCCGAGGGCATTAAAAAATCATTCTAACGAATTGATTTACTTCCAACCCATCTTGTCACAACAATTTACCCAGAGGACTAGGATAACCTCACAAAAAAAATTATAATAACTAACAGTTTAGGAAATAGAAATTGACACCCGAATTTTGCATCAATCATTCTATCACTTATGTCAAGAGATAATTTGGGAAACAAACAAACAATCATTCTTCAAAATTGTTTAATAAAAGACACAAGATACAATCTCGTAGTTACACAAACAAAACGTAGGATTAATTAGGTCAAAAACAAACAAAAAAACCTATTTTTTCAAAGCAGAAGGAAATTATAAAAACAAAATTTTCCAGAAAATGAACGCTGTTTCGTAATCTGACTCAGCAACAAAACAAAAACTTGAAAATACTAGAGACCTGTTACCCGACAAAAACAAACCAGTGGACAAACAAAGATTTTTTCCGAATCAGAATCCACAACAGTGAAGAAAAAAAAATTCCTTAATTCGAAAACCAGTAAGATTACACAATTGGAATCAACCGATAAGACATTTTCGAAATTACCCATTGATCCGCCAAGAGGACAAGTTCAATTTTGTCACAAGTTAATTGTAAATTTGTTGCAAAAAAAATAGCCCAAGTGAACATGAATTCCCCGAAAAAAGAACAACAATACAAGTTCTAGATTACTTTATGCCAAGTAAATGTAATGTAACTTCACACAATGGCATATTCACCATTGAAATTCTACCACCAAGTTCATGCAACCAACCATCACACAAAATTCAAACAGATGATACAGATTTAAATTTCTCAAAAAGCTTTGACAGAACACATTGAAAATATTCAACATCAAGATTCACAAAGAGCAAATTCAATCATCAGAAATGGTGTTTCTCAGTTATTTACAGTTGTAATTCAATATTAGAAACAAGTGAAACATTTTATATATCTCCATCACAAACATCTCGACACGCAATAGTAAAACGAGAAGTTATTCTCTTCCAACGACCTTTAGAATTATTTCGTGAAACACTCAGTAAGATTAAAATTTCACAAATAAATTAAGTCGATCTGCAAAAAATTTTTGCATGGTTTATTATAGATTACTTTGAAACTTATTTAGATTTAATTGCACAAGCAGGGAAAAAATTGGACCGTAAACCGATGAAGAAAAAGTGCTAGCAGTGAAACATAATGTGCATGTGTTCCAGAATGGCTCAACGTTTTATTTTTTAACTTACAATTTGATATTTCCAGTGCAGCAATTGTAACCATCTCATTACATAAAAAATGTTTAAAATTAATCCCAGTAACAACCGACACGACACCTTTAAACTACAACACAATCATTAAAAATATGACATTAAACAACAATCTAAATTCAACATTTAAAAATACACAAGAAATTTCAAAGGAATTGCAAATCTAGCAAAACAAAGCGCACAAACGCCATCACATTTTTGTAACCGAAGAAATTATTGAAACAATACCAGCAACAATACAACAAAATCTTTCGCCTATACATCCAACAATCACTAATCCACCCAACCCAAAAAAAAACACTCCGTTTCCACCAAGAACATTGCAACCAAAAACTTAACCATCCGTTGCTCCAAAACATGCACAAATGTATTTAAAAAAAATAGACCAATAATTAAAAAACGTCCGATTATTAAACCGAAATTTACAAATCGAAACAATTTGTCAAATCGAAAAAAATACACAACCGCAATCGAATAGCACGACCACTTTTTATAACAGAACCATTCTCATGTACATAGTTAAATTCAGCAAGTATCTAAAACTCTGCAATCTGCAAGTTTAACTGATAAGAAAAAACCTCAAACAGATTGCAAGAAAAACTACCCATTCTTAAAACAAAATAAAAAAACTCAAATAACAGACACTTCAAAAAAAACTACGCACATAATTCACAAAATTAAGAATACTCTCATCAAAATCAACCACAGTACAATGCAAATCACTGAAAAAAAAACAATGGAATGACTTAGGTTAAATAGATGATAACTTTCAAAAACAAATTTTTGAAGCCTACACGAATTCACAGAGACCACAACAATCACAACAGCAATGTCTAACAAAACATATTTTATGCAACCAGAAAAAACATAAAATCATAAAAACTAATGAATACCCAAGGCTACTAACCCGGCTCAATGAGAAAGGAAATTCCAGTACCGTACTTTTTACAACAACATCGAACTACCAAAAATCATTTCACAAATTTTACACAAATAACAAATACCAAATACAGCAGAATCAATCCAAATTACGATGAATCCATACATTATGCCTGGATCATCTCTAACATCAAACAAAACCATTTATAGTTTTCACAGGAAGAGGTTGTGAAGATTCAGTAGAAAAATACCTAAATGTTGCCAGAGCTAATCTATTATTAAAAATAGGCCCAGATACTACATATATACTACTTCACCGGAACGGGGCTCATAGACGTACAGCAGTAATACAAACCAAACTCGACGGTGCAGCTCACAAAAGGTTTTCAATTTTCCTCATAGAAATCAATTACGATTGGAAACAATTTACCTAGAAGGTTCCAAAACGTTTAACTTCGAAAGAAACAAAATGCATCAAAAAAATTTATGCAATGAAAATCGCAGACTCACAATTAAAACTATTAAAGAATTTGGTGTAAGAATTGAAACTCTGGTACAAAAAGCTTCTTGTCTGAATACACACGATTGTGAAAATAGAAAATTGACAAAATTTTAAAGATTACCTTATTACCACAGTTGAAAAAAGCAATGAAATTAGAGCAACACATCTATCATCAATTCGCAAACCAGACAGAGATTCTGCAAATTTGTACACAAAAGAGAACAAGAAGATATCACAAGGAAACTAGAAGAAACAGAAATTTTCAAGTTACAATACGCCAAATTAATCTGACGACTACGTCACATATAAACCACATCCAAGATTACGATAACGATTTAGCAAAAAAAATCACTCAAAGTCGAAACACACATGAAAAGAATCCAAATTTTTAAGGAAAAACCTTATTCAAAAATTGGTGCACCTATTGCCGCAGGTACGGAAAGAAAAATGCCGAATGCAAACAAAAACAACCAGATAAGTCAAACCGGTCACAAAAACATACAGAGCCGTTTAAATCTTTTTACCAATACATGAAAAAAGATCGAAACTTACCAAATAAAAAAATTCAAAGTAAAAAGAGTTCCAGAAAACCACTCACACCTAGTTATAGTAATAGCAGATCACAATCAACATTTTCCAACAATTTTCGTGGACGATCCCAACAGAGAAGAAAATCACAAAAATATTCCAAACATAGATATAGTCGATCAAATAGTCAGAACAATCATTACAGAAACAATTATTCATTATCTAACTCTAATAGGAGTTGTTATTCTAATTATTATAGAAATTGATCATGTTCAAATAATCAAAACCGATATTAATCAAACGACCGCTCAAAAAACCCTTCGAACAACCAGAATAGAAATTATTCAATTGATCGCAATCGGAATTACTCAAATAAAAAATCCCAGAACTACTCAAATAACATACAATCTAATAGAAACTATAACAACAGATCTGACGAAAACTCCAATAACTCTAGACCTAGAAATAGTAGCTAACA